GGCAATCAGCCTGGTTTTAAGGGCACAGGCCCCAATAGGGAAATACAACAATAGAGGTTGTGGGAGCAATACCCCAGATTAGGAAAGTTTTTGGGTCATATGGTAATATTTGTGTAGTCCTAGAAGTGGCTGGAGCAGTAGGGATTTAAACTGTGGTTGGAACTGGTCGTCTGGCTCAGACAGACAACTTGTCAACTTGGATAGTCAAGTGGTTTGTGTTTGGAGCTCTCAGCTCTTGCAATACTTAGCTGGGAAAGGAACAAATTGAATGTCATGGTAATTTTTATATATATATAAATATGATTTGTGGAAATATTTGACAAAAATACCTGTATACATCCTGAAATTCACTGCAATACACACTTTTAACCCATTCACTGGATGTTACCGAGAGCAACACATAGAACTAGAAGGAATTGGACACCGCCATCTTATAGAGAATAAGAAGTAGAGTTAGAAACAGTACTGGTGCAGCTGCTGCAGCCTCATATTTACCGTGAAATTATGAAAATATCTCCTGCAAATCACCACTCGGAGACTATGTCCACAACACCACACAGGTAGAGTTCTTAATGTCTATTTCTTATAAGTTGTCACGAAGTGTTAATTAATAGGGGGTACAGGGGGGCTTGCCCACATGTCCCGGGCATAAATAGAAGGTAGGAAAGGATAGATTTGGGACTTAGTCTCCGAAGGATGCGTCGCTCTTGGTAGCAAATACCATAGATTCTTTAACAGATTTCATGATGTACAGGCATCAGAAGTTAAAAATGTTTTATTCTTTGAGCTTGCAGTCTGAATATTACTGCAGTACTAGTGCCTGATAGGGCCATGTATGGCATATGCCAATGCATCAGACTTAAAGATGCAGCATAATTGTTGGTGTAGCGGGAGAACTCATCTTCCCTGCGTGTATTAAGCAAGTTTGACGTGTCAGTGCATATATGATTTTCTGTGGGGATCAGTAAAACACAGAGTTGATGCGCTTAACTCTGTGTATTCAGGAGAATCTATGTGGCACTACATAGGGTTGATTACATTACACGAGTATAAAAATTTGCTGCTAGATGGTGTACATAAAAGAAAATATACTTTTATATGGGTAACTTAACAAAATATAACTTTACCTTAGTTTAGGTAATATGAGGTATATCATACACATATATGAGGTATACTTATAGTAATAAACATCTTTAATTACTTCTAACACCCCCTCTTAATTAAAGATGGGTATGTTATCTGAGAATCTATCCCCTGATATAGTTAAAAGCTTGCAACTTCTTCTAGCTTACAGGCTTTGTAAAAATATCAGCTGGATTCTGTTGTGTAGGAACATAGAATAAATTTACATTACCCGTCTCTACTTTGTCTCTAATGAAGTGGTAACAAATATCAATGTGCTTTGATCTTTGGTGATTAACTGGGTTTTTCGCAAGATTAATAGCACCTTGGTTGTAAACTCCTAAGTCTACAGACTTTAACTTTAATCCTAATAGATCAGACACAATTTGTCTTAGGAACTTTACTTCCTGATTGGCATAGGTAATAGCCATGTACTCTGCTTCACAAGATTTAAGTGCTACTGTCTGTTGTTTCTTACTTTTCCATGATATAAGTGGTCCATCTTTATGTAACTGAAAACAATATCCTGATATGCTTTTTCTGTCTTCAGATGATCCCTAGTCTGAATCACAATATCCTTGAAGTTGAACTGATTCATTTGACTTTTTGAATGTAAGACCATACATCATTGTACCTTTCAAATATTTGAGCACATGCTTAGCAGCATTTAACTGAGCTTTAGTAGGATTGGACATATACTGTGAAAGTTTAGTGACCACATAGCACAAATCTGGTCTAGTACCTGTCATAATATATATGAGACTACCTACTATTTCTCTGTAAAGAGTAGCATTAGCCAACTCATCAGATTCTACTGTTGAGGTGTTAACAATACTTGGATCACATGGTATATTTCTTGCATAACAATCTGACATGTTAAAGCTATCCAAAATCTTCTCTACATATTTAGTTTGGTTCACCTCAATGTTATCTTTACCAGAAACAAATGACATTCCAAGAAACCAGTTTAGTTTACCTAAATCAGTCATTCTGAAATTTTGACAAAGAGATTGTTTAAATTTGTTCATCAGTAACGTAGTCATCTAGATGTGAGGGTTTCCGTCTTTCTCGAGCTGGATATCTTCTTTCTTCACTTATGTTCTCTGGTGGCTTATCTTGGTGCGCTGGAAGTGGTTTTTGCTGAAGTCTTGTCTCCACCAAGATGTCTTCTTCATCTGAGCCTTGCTCGGTACTTGATGGTTCAGCTACATTGGGCAAGTTTTCCATAAACTTGACACATCTTATCTTCTTTACTGTCTGGGAGTCCTTGAAGTAAATTAAGTACGCTGGGCTCTGGTCATCATAGCCTACAAATATCCCTTCCTTACTCCTGGGATCAAGTTTCTTTTTCTCCTCTTCATATGCAAAACATCTTACTCCAAAAACATTCATTCTGCTGATGTTTGGCCGCTTTCCAGTGAGCATTTCTACTGGAGTTTTCCGAGTTCTGGGGTTATAGCACCTATTCCTTATGTAGCAAGCAGTTTTCACTGCATAGCTCCACATATCCTTGGGTAATTTGGCATCAATCAGTAAACATCGAGCCATATCAAAAATGGATTTGTGTGACCTCGCAACTGTTCCATTTTGATGTGGAGAGTGGGGTGCAGAAAACTTGTTTAATCTTATTCTCTATAAGGAGTGTTCTGAATTCATTATTTGTAAATTCTGTTCCATGGTCACATCTCAGGCTTTTTATCCTGCCATAACGTGCTGTTTCTGCCGTGTACCTCTTCATGGCTTGTACTGTATCACTCTTACGCTGTATGAGGTAAACTCTAAGAGCTCCTGAGTAGTCATCAATGAAAGAGATACTGTACCTGAAACCTCCTTTAGCTGCTGGATCAATAGGTCCTACTACATCACAGTGGACTAAATCAAAGGGCTGCTTAGCCTTTTTGTCAGGCTCTCTATTTCTATACTGTGTCATTTTACCAAGAGCACATGTGGTACAGTTGAACTTATCTTTACTCAAAATATGCATGCCATTAACAGTTGCTTCAAGTTTTTGCACATCAGTCACATTACAGTGTCCTAGAATTTTTTTGCCATTCCTCTAGGGTGTGCTTAGCCTCCCCTAAATTGACCTTGTTGAACTTATCCAAATGAGAGTTCGTATGTTGCTTACCTCTACGTAAGTAGTACAATTTGTTTTTCTCAACAATATCAAATACTGTGCCATCATTGGTAGTTAGTGTACTACCATTTGGTGAAAAAGTAATGCTGTGTCCACTCTGAATGGTCTTCCATACTGACATGATGTCCTGTTTAAATCCTGGTATGTATAGAGCATCTTTTAGTAAAACACTTCTCGATCTGCCGTTTCAATCTTGAATAAAATCTTTGACATCACCAATTCCTTGCACATTTCCTTGTTGCCGCTGGCCATCTGCCAACTCTATGTAATGGTTTTGTGGATCAAAGGACTCTTCAAATCTCACAAATTTTGGTTCATTTATTTCTATATGTGTAGTGCAACCACTGTCAATCATGATCAAACTTTCATCTGCTTCTAAGCCTGATACATTTTGTTTTCCAATGTCACACGACTCTGAGGTCCCCTCGACGGGTCGTAACCTTGAGTGTGTTATATGGAAAGAATATTCAAAGTTTTGTGGCTCACTTGTATTATTAGCAGAATTTACTGAGTTATTACTCCTCCTGGGGTTCTTTGTTCTACATTCACTAGTATTGTGAGTTCTTGAATTATGAAATTCACACCATTTCTTGACATTTTGAGGCTTGTTCAGGTTGTTTACTCTTATATTCACCACCTTTTAGGCATTTTGATGCAAAATGGCCTGGTTCAACACTCAAGGTCTCTCTGTTTAAATGTATTATTACCTTGGGCAACCATTACTCTCTCTGTATCAGAATTTCCTTTGAGAGTATCTTCATAAGTTAATATAGCTGTCTTTAACCCACAATAATCATATGGAGGGTTGCGTTGATTAGCTATATCAATAAAACTCTTGTATCTCTGTGGAAGTCCTTTTAGTGTGATTACCACTAAGATACGATCACTGATGCTCTCACCTGCTTCTCTGAGTGCTGCTATTGTCTCCTCAAGGAGACAATAGCACTGCCGCCATTCTCTAGTCTTTTGGTGAAGAATGACATTAATAAAGCATACAACCTCTGGTCTGATTCCCTTAGGTAATACTTTCGTAGTACTGCCAAAGCCTTCACGCCATCTCCTTTCGCTTCACGTTTTATCATGCCAAGTGACGTTCTGTCAAGACAACCAGTTAAATGACTGTAGATTGTCCTTTTGGCACGATCCAGATTATAACCTTCTGGACGTTCTGAGGCATACTTATAGAGCGCGAGATGTAGTTCCAATATGTCCAACGCGCCGAGGAAGTGCTCTTTCCACAAATCATATTTGTTTGCATCACCATCAAACTGCTTAAATCTGGGCCCATAACCTGTTGGCGTAGTGGGAGAACTCATCTTCCCTGCGTGTATTAAGCAAGTTTGACGTGTCAATGCATATATGATTTTCTGTGGGGATCAGTAAAACACAGAGTTGATGCGCTTAACTCTATGTATTCAGGAGAATCTATGTGGCACTACATAGGGTTGTTTACATTACATGAGTATAAAAATTTGCCGTAAGATAGTGTACATAAAAGAAAATATACTTTTATATGGGTAACTTAACAAAATATAACTTTACCTTAGTTTAGGTAATATGAGGTATATCATAGACATATATGAGGTATACTTATAGTAATAAACATCTTTAATTACTTCTAACAATAATGTACATGACAAATTCAGTGGGGCTGTACCTTAATTTATCTTTTGCAGAGGGTGGCAGCCCGTGTGACTTCCCTTAGAGGGTTTATTGCCACCCTGCTCTTGCCCTGAAAAAAAAAAAAAAAAAAAAAAATCCACAAATTTATGGGAGGATAGAGGGTACAACTGTCTCGGGAATGCATGCACCTTTGTTTTATGAACATTTACTTTACCAAATTATCTGATGCAGGGGTTATAGCCCCCTGCATACCATGAATTCTCCATGCAATTCAGGCAGGATGAAGTGTAGGACTGATCACAGTGATATGATATACCATGAATAACTACATTCCCTCTACACACTAACCTGTGAAATGAAGGATAAGCTCCAGTGTACTGTGAGAATGGTATTTATGAGTAGTAGAAGGTGAGAGGAAGCCATTGGTATCAGTATTGTCATCATCTGGTGGCAATAAGATAAGGGAAAAACTACAGTCACTAATACATGAAATGATCTGTGCAGGGAAGTAATAATGACAGGGATGAAAGAAATATATCTTGACAAATACTGCGTGAGGACAGACTTCATGGTAATTGGATGGAGGTCCAGGGATATTTATATATGTATATATATATGATATATATATAATATATATATATAATATATTTATAATATATTTATAATATATATATTATAATATATATATATATATAAATATATATATATATATATATATATATATATATATATATATATATATATATATATGCACTGAGATGATTTAAATTAGGTTACCACTCAGTAAAGTTCTTTGTTACAAGGCGAGAAAGGCTGGACTTCGTCGTTGGAGTGTATGGAACTTAAAGGGACCGTCTGGTAATTTTTTGATTTTTTTTTCTTCCCGATTTTGATGAAACTCACACCCTTTTATTTAGACCCTCCCCCAATCCCTGTGGTCAATTTTTTTATTTTCGAAATAGGCTGAACAGTTTTTGAATTATTGACAAATAACTGAAAAATTGCAAAATTCTCAGTTTGAAAATTGACAAAACCGCAAAAAGTTTGTAAAATTCAGAAAAAATTACACATGCATTCTGATGTGATTTTTGAACAGATACACACTAGATCTAGTGCTTGTGGGAAATACTTTTTTCGATTTTGACTTTCTTTTTTTTGTGTGAATTTTTTAAATGACCGATTATCAGGTGTTTTTTTACACATTTGTCGTTTTTATAAGAAGCACAGGAAAAAATTGCAAAAACCATTTCCCACAAGGACTAGATTTATCCTTTAGCTACAAAATGAGCCATAAAACTTTTATTTTGGACTAAAATTGCGTCTGATACAGGTTTTGTGCCTAGAGAGGTAGTGTTTCGAGATAGCGGCACTTTCGTGTTGTAGTACATTCTCGTAACGGTTTTGGTAATAAAAAAATAGGTATAAGAATAATCTTCCTATAACATAATCCTCTACCATTTACCTGCATTTAGAAGTCCTGCGAAAATTCCCAGCACGTAACAGTATCTCACCAAGCGACTTTTGTTATCAGTTTCAACTATTATACGCGAAAGCCAATTTATATAAGTAGACTTTTTTTTTTTTTTTTTTCTGAATATTTTGCCAAGGTACCTATTTTTACACCCTAAACGAGTCTTCTGCCAATATATGTCACCTTTATGAGAAGCACAGGAAAAAATTGCAAGAACCATTTCCTACAAGCACTAGATTTATCATTCAGCTACAAAATGTGCCATAATACGTTTATTTCCGACTAAAACTACGTATTCTAGAGTTTTCGTAGCTGTACTGGTAGTGTATCGAAATATCATATTTTTTTTAATTTTTCATAATTTTTACTGTATGAATAACAAATGATATCTGAAATAATTCCATGTGATATAATCATGTCATTTCCCTTTATTATGCGCTGTAATAAGGATTTACAACATTTAAGACTGGCCTGAAGCCTTCTCCATGGCAGTATATATACATTATTGAAGCATTGTTCATAATTACGTCTTTATTCATCTTTCTAATACATTCTCATATATATACCATGCATTAGTGATTTGTGTGTAAATTCATAAAGATAAACATCTATATTCCTACATATAAGCATCAGAATGTAGTATTGGCGAGGGGGGGGAGAGGCATTACACTAAATCGCGCTTGTTTTTTTAAGAACAGCATAGAATTTTTCTTGAATTTTATGGAAAAAAATAAAAAGTTCCAATTTCTAATTTTTTT